ATTATGTAGAAAAAGTAGAATTGGGCTGAAAGATCTATCGCTTTATCACCTATTCAGGTTGTAAATCGTGTTTTTAAAAAGTAACTAAGTAACTAAGTAACTAATTTTTAATTAATTAATCTTTTGAAAATAAGTAATCAGTAAAGTAACGGGATTACTTTTGGGGGGAAGTAATCAGTAATTAGTTACTGATTACTTTTTTCAAGTAACTTGACCAACACTACTGGCCACACCTGAGGAAATGATCGCACACTTGCAGCTGATCAAGCCTCGTCTGAGGAGCTACTTAGGAGTGTGGTGGAGCTTTCTCAGTGAGAGTAAGCCTGCCGCAGTTTGAAAGTGTCGAACGTCTGCCTCTGTTATTTCCCAGGAGGAGCGTGGAAATGAGAGGGCAACAAGCATGGGGTGCGTGGACAGTTGGAAGTGAGGACACAGAGCACGGACACTGGGAGGAAGACACGGCACCGGAGTCTGGGGCGCGCAGGGATTTATTTGTGTGTGATTATTTACCGCACTGTAAATAAATGCACTGCTGTCATTGAAGAGTCCTGCATTTTGGGTTCTCCTTCCCCACCTCCCCACGGTCTGCCATACAGACCGTGACAATTTTATTCATTGATAAGAGTTAAGAACACAGAAAACCACCATTAGATTTTGAGCCACTACTAAATACCACCTAGGAAGTATCTGAATGGTTTAATTTTTCACAATGACAATCATCCCAAACACTCCTAGTGCAGTAAAAGCATATCTGGATTGGAAAACAATAAGTCATGGATTGGCCTCCCCAAAACCCAGAACTCAACGTTATTGAAGCAGTGTGGGATCATCGTGACAAAGAGTAGATCAAAAGGCAGTCCACATCCAAAGAAGAGCTGTGAATGTCCTTCAAGAAGCCTGGAGTACTACTGCTAAGGACTCCTTAAAGAAATTACATGAAAGCTTTCCTTTGGAGTTGTGTTGAAGAAGGAAAGCCATTAGAAATGTTCAAATTTTGTTTTTACCTTATATACTTAAGCAATTTGGGATCATGTTGACAGCAAACATCCAAAGAAGAGCTTTGAATGTCCTTTAGGAAGCCTGGAGAATTATGCTTGAAGACTACTTAAAGAAATGATGAGAAAACTGTCTAACAGAGTTCAGACTGTTATGAAGAAAAAGGTGGCCATACCAAATATTGACTTGTATATACTGAATTGTGCCAACTGTGTTTTTCTGTGCTGTCTGGGAGCATTTTTAATGGAATTATCTGACAAATAATGAAGCTTCTGTGGGCCAAGAAATCCAAGAAGTTGTGTTTCAGTTTTGTTGGATGAAATTCAAGGATTTTATTAATCTATCGCTAAGCCAGCAGGTATCTGTGAGTGTGCACGGCGTCTGTAAAGTTTAGAGATAAAGATGAGCTTATAACTTTAGCGCTCCACCATCTGGTTCAAATATAGCTTCAAAAAATTAGCATTGCAGCCGCCACTGAAGCTTTACAGTAGGCAACCCAGGCAATAATATGATTTACATATTAGCAGCGAATAACGTTGGTAAGTTGATACAAGACGCTGGGGAACTCGTGGGATTGGAGTCCAGAGTTCACAAACCAATAAGTGACGTAACGGTTGCTGCATCAGCCTTTATGTAACTCTATAATGACAACAGCTCTCTAACACCTGTGCTGCTGATTCAACTTTTGGAGGCTGTAGTTTCTCATCATTGTAACTCTTATATAGCAGCATAAACTGCATGTTCTATACTTATATACAATTTTTAATGGTTAAAATGTATTTTTTTTAAAAAACAGGAAAGGTGTGTGCACTTTAAAGCAACCATATTCACACGTTACATTTCCAGCGTGCCAGCATTTAGTATGTGACCATCTCCCGAAAGAGAAAGAATGGTATGATCTTCAGCCAAGCCTATTACTGCAGCTGGAGAACTGATAATGGGGGTAGTACCTGTTTGGCTCTCTGCTAGCTGACTCATTTAAGAGGATCCCAGCAAAACTGCATTTCCACCTGTACCTGTTCTTTGTTCTGGAAAGATTTCCCTTGTCTCGGCCATCACTGTGAGCTGGACCATGTGAGATTTTGTAATTATTGGAGAGATAATAGGCAGATCAACATGAGGACACACACATACATCCACACACACACCTGAACCCTGCTTAAATGAGGCACGGTGCTGCTATTTCTCCTGTGAAGCTCCATGATCGAGGGTAAAAACTGATTTTTAGAGGGCATTTGGTGAAGAGGCTCTCATAGTAAGCCTGGGTTTGTGTATTCGCTCTGTTACCATGAACCCCCTCAGTCCAGAGGAGGATGTCATCGGGAAACAAGGACAGAGGCTCCTGCTCATTTCGCAAAGTGACCTCAGAGGACAATAGAGGTGGATTAACTCTGAGGTGAATTCAGTCATGAAAGGAAAGAAGAAAATGGGATGTAAAGATGATGGCCCCAAAAAAGTGGTTTGAGGAAAGGAAATGAAATTACAGGACATGACAGAAGATGTGAAGCTTGCAGTAATATACAGTAGAGATCCACCTATAAGAGCTGGTGGAGGGTGAGCAGGAGGACAGGATGGCATACGAGCAATCAGGAGCTAAGATGAGAGCAGAAGGTAATCATCTTTATCATGTGGAGGCACAGAGAAAGGAGAGGGACACTTACCTGACATTGGTGTGCCGCTGCACGTAGAGGTTGTGGAAGTTGTTGGTGCTCTCGGTTCGACCGAAGTTCGGTCCCTGAAGCCTCTGGATGATCTCAGCTTTCATCACTCTGGCTATGTGAGCAGGCAGTAGGGATAACAGCAAGCGCTCCTACAGAGAGGGAGATGTGGGGGAAGGAATGGAAATGTTAACAGTGAATAACAATGGCAGGTCGATAAAGAGACTTTGTCTTTCTGATATACTATGATATGGAAATAATCGGGTTTTGTTTCCACCAATCAAACAGAATGGCTCCACAAAAAAATCTTAATTCCCATTCAAACTGGTTTAAATAATTTGCTCCCTGAAACTGAAAGCTGAGCTGCTTTTCTAGGAGACCTAAAGGCTCACATGTAGTGTCTGACAAGGAGTAGTGCATAATTAAGTCTGTTCTACTCTATTCTCTTCTGTTGTCATCCACAGCTAATATTTAACCTATTTTTACATCCCTTAATGATGGCTCATCGGGGCTAATTTTTCAAGCACTGAGCACAGGAAGCCAAAGTCGAGCACTGAAAATCTCTCGAGGCACATTTTCAAATGTGCAGTGTGTCATGGGAAACCAGGTTCTGCGCATTTTTAGGCTGCCGGTTAAATGAGTGATGGAGTGGAACATTAAGGTAAATGCACTTGGTAACCTCCAGTGATGTCAAAATTAATGTGGAAGTGCAAAAATTGCAGCGGTACTATAGATAATAACAGTAATTTATATTTGGAGTTGTGGCGCTGCTTGGGCGCTAACAGCCACTGCTGAAAAGATCGGCAGAGAACAGAGAAATTATCCGTGACAACAGAGCTGACACTAATTCAGAAAGAGCAAGAAAGCATAAGATGCAGTCGAGGTGGGTTGCAAAGTGGCTTGCAGACAAAAGCATTTTTTTAAGCCGCTTTCAGCCACTCCCTTATTTACATGGGGTCCTCGAAGCAGGTAGCTCTGCATGCTTGATTTGGTAGATTTTTGTAGGAGAAACCCTACCTGCCACGATCCCAAAAGCATTTGTGTTTTCTCTTGAGACTGAACCAGGCATATGAGTTTTGGCTGTCAGCTTTTTTGTCAGCATTGAAATCAGGAGATTTGCTGGGATTGCAGCTGACTCACTCACTATGTATTAATAGACTTCTCTGCATTGAATCATATCTGTTATTAACCTCTGTCTCTCTTCCACAGCATGTCTTTATCCTGTCTTCCTTCTCTCACCCCAACCGGTCGCAGCAGATGGCCCCGCCCCTCCCTGAGCCTGGTTCTACCGGAGGTTTCTTCCTGTTAAAAGGGAGTTTTTCCTTCCCACTGTCGCCAAAGTGCTTGCTCATAGGGGGTCATATGATTGTTGGGTTTTTTTCTGTATCTATGAAGCGCCTTGAGGCGACTTTTGTTGTGATTTGGCGCTATATAAATAAAATTGAATTGAATTGAAAGGTGAGCTTGACGTTGTTGACTATGTGAGCTTCCACCATTAACAAATAGTTAAATAGCCCCACTCGGAATTTTTTTTGGAACCACCCATTCAAATTGTATTACCCATTTAACATCCACCAAATCACCTGTCTACTCCCTTAGGATCCATCTGTTTTTATCAAATTTTTGGGTTGTTGTGCATAACTAAATGGAAATGCTAACGAAATAATAGCTGCATAGCAAAATGCACTGTTGAAACTTTAGTTTCTGAAAAATGTGATTCTTTAGCATAAGGCTAAAATACAACCAAATGGTAGTCCTATCCCTAATGGGTGACAGGTATATGCCAACACCTGTTGTTCTATTATTGTAACAGCTAGCTATCTGCTAAACATCACCTCAAGCCGGTTTTTAGTCAGTGAACTGGATCCCTGAGTGTGTTTTGGGGTGACAAATGATGACTTGCTGAGAGGTTTATTATTGTATTAACAGTCCAAACAAAAAATGAGCTCAAGTTTTATATTATTTTATTTCAGTATGTATACGTAGGCACTTAGGCGCTACTTGCATCTGTATGATGCGCCAGTTGTCACAATGAGGATTGATGAGGACCGAAATGCAAGTTAGCTAGCTGATCACAAGTCAAATATGAACCAAGTCCAAAGGGAGGTGGAAATAATCAGAGAATTGATGGGAAACAGACATGAAGTAAAACTACAATAGGTAACCTACAAAGTTGTACAGCAAGTTCATGAAATGCAAAATAAAAAATGCAGCGAGAAGGTCCGTGCTAAACACGAATGGCAGACAGGGGAACAGGCAAAAGATAAAGATGAGACAGAGGACGGAACAGACGGGGAAACACAGGGAACTAAAACTACTACAAAGAATGAAAATAAGAGAATGACCCAAACTGTGAAACTGAATCATGTACATCCATTTTTTATATACAGTCATAATGAAAATGTAGATGTCATGTAGATGTACCTTTGCAGTGATGTAAAATTTATTTGACCTATTATAGTCCGTAGTCCAAATCATTGATTTCTTTCTCATTTTGTAGGTTTTTCTACATTTCCCAAAAAGCATCTTAAGCATCTTATGAACACTGCTGTGCAGCTGCATTTGCTGGAATATCTCAGAAACTGAAATGCCTCGTGGCTGAAGGCAACAAAAGCACACAGGTGGCTGTTGGCAGTTTATCACATTTTTCTTCCGAGGATTCATCTCTCGTCTGATTTTTGAAGGCTACATTATTGTTGCACAAATACGACTATACAAACGACTTTGACAGCTGCTGGTGATTTTTTAGAAAGTTTACCTACGCTTTGGAAAAGTCATGTCATTATACAGTGAGGAGAAAAACGCAGAACCAGAGATGCAAGATCCATCACCCCTCGCTGTTGTGTAACCAGAAGTTTTTGCTTTAATTTAGCACCATACACACTTGCATAGAGGGTGATTTTGGCGTGCATGTGCAAGCGTGTGGGCATGTGTGTGGGTGTGTGTGCATGTTAGAGAGAGTGAATAGCTGCCTGAGGGGGTGTGACTCATAAATGCAGCTCACAGCAGAGAGGGTCATTACATTGTTCACACACCACGGGCTCATTTCCTAAAACACAGCAGCAAATTAAGTCGAGAGAGGGACCAGGGGCTCTAAAAATAGAAACCAATAGCAACACTTGCTCTTATTTACTTATTCAGCGCCGGAGCAATATGAACACTCCACTGTGAGCATGCACAATAGGTATAATAGCCTGGGGAGATGTAGTGCTATTAATCATGTGTTTGATTAATCAACTAAAGTTGTGTGTTCAGTCGCTGAATGAGATTTGTTTTATGCACTGGCATTTGTGTGCGTCCTCACACAGTGA